AAGATAGGGGGCATTGTAGTGGGGATACTTTTGGAACCGCACCTTCAACTTCCTTCAACACCTTCTTTTGTTGAAGGAAGGATTGAATGCAGGCGGAGGAAGGTGACTTCAGATTGTGTGAAAAATCTGTAATTTCTTCGAAGCTCCTGTCCCTCCTGGTCCCAGTCTGGAAGATGCCCCTGTAACTTGCGATAGCGTCGAAATGTGTAAGTGTGAATTCTGCTGTGCGAATCTGGAAGAAGCTCAGTTGAGTAAAAAATTAAGAATGTAACTCAAGTGAAATATACCAGAAAATTTATGCATAGTTATGGGTATTTCTACCATGAATCTTAAATCAAAAAAATCGATAATTGATTTTCAGAGCCGTTCTGCTCACCGATCGTACCACATATACCGATTCGACAACGACTAGCCACTAGGCGATGCACAAGCGGTGAGGCGTTAACAACATTTTTGAACATTTTCGATTTCAAAATTCAATTTTGATGCAAACGAAATTCAAATAGCCTTTTTATGGTCTGGTACTGAGGAAAATTATAGGGAAATTGGGTGCATGTAGTCATGTAGTGCAAGCAATTTCAAATGTAAATGTGTGCCAATGGAGATGGGCGACCAAACTTTAGCAGGTCAGAGACTTCGGGGAAGGGATACCGACTTAGTGTCAAGGGTATATGGACGCGGAAGTGTCTCGAGGGTAGCTGGAAAACGTGCAGAGGTGGTGTGCCTGCTTAAGCCGACTTAGAGAAAGAGGAGCACTTGCTTCCCATTTGGAAGGGAACCAGTGGCTCATATCGGGCGTTTGAATAGGATAAAGGTCCATGTGAAGAGTAGAAAGCATTTTGAAAGGGCAACTTACTCATGCGGCGCTTCTTGATGGTTTCCCAGAATTACCGCCACGTTACGCGTCATTCAACCGAGGAGAAGTCCTCCATAGCAAAGTGGGCGGATGCTGAAAACAGGGCGATGAAAATCTGTTCTGCTTATCGTGGTCAGAGCCATCTCTACGGTTGCGAGTCGGGCCTATGGACAGTCGTGAACGCTTCCTTGTGAAGTTGAAGGTTCAAGAATTCATGACATGACATCCTTTGTTGGATGCGCCGTGCATTCAACATCCACTCGGAATCGCAGCAGTTTTCCAGATGCTTAATCTGACCTCTGCAATGACTCTATGGGAAGTCCAAATGTGGAGTTTCCCGTGCGCTTCCTCAGCCGATCCTTCGAAGAAGCAAGGCTTGTTTGTTCCGAACCTGAGACTCGATCCATGAATTGATCCTGGGCTGAAATAATGGCATTGCCTTCCAAACCGTCTTGAATCCATTCATACAATGACTTCCTTACGAGCTGAGTGGCGGCAGTAAAAGAGCCAAATGTCTTCGCGCTACCTGTGGGATCAAATTCCGCCGGAGCAACGATGCCATAAATCCATTACCAAACTAGGCAGTAAACTTGTATGGCGCTACAAAAAAGGACTGGCTTCGTAAGGGATTTGCCCCACGAGTCATTACGCGGCCAAATGCGCTTAGTCTTCACAATATGGGCGAACGCCAAGTCTAGCACTGGAATGTGATTGTCCTCGCTCCGTAACGCTTGCTGTAATTTACCAACGGAAACCCCTCGAAGCGAACATTTCAAAGTTTTTTTGGGGGGGGGGGGGAGGGGTGAGTGGGGGAATTCTGAAGAAAACTTCAGAGAGATTTTTTTTTTCAAAAGCTTCTGCAAGCTACGACTTTGTAGAATAACATGTGTCTGGGGCAGTCCAAAATCTCCCTGTTTACCAGCTCACATTCACTTTTGTCTGGAGCTTCGTTGTCGGGGTCTACTCCGTCGCCAACTAAAGCCATGTTTTCTTGTTTGTCATGAGGTCGACTGACTTTAGCGTAAGCGCTTCGTCGAGGATGTTGTTGACGCGGGACTCGTGCAGCACTTCTGGCAGTCGTCCATTTTCATATGCTTTGAAGAAGGCAACGGAAAAATTAATGTGAACTGGCTTACTGTAAGGAAAACGGCAATGAATATTAGACAGCTTCTGATGGAAAAATTAATAAAATGCTTTAAATTGTTTTGCACATGCTTAATGGGGGTTTGAAACGAAAAGTGACAAATTCTGCCGCAGGACAGGAGGAATTGCCTTGCCTCTCAGGCCAGACATGCAATTGTTTGATCTTTCACTTTCCTGTGAGTGGATCGGTTCATGGAATGAATGATGGGGTATTTTACAGCGAACTGGCGTCAGGCGCGTTGATCGAGGATCCATTGAGACTTTGCGCGCCTCTACACTGACCCACTAGCCAGATCTGCAGAAGTAGGCTTCGCAATTTTAGGCTTTACGATACTGATCCGTTCTCGACATATGTATCTGTCTGATAGCCTCCGTTGCAGCGGGGGCTTATTTGAGATTGAAAGAAACGCTTCAATAGTCTCAAATTCCTATACATGATGCATCATATTTTTAGCATTGTTATACTATGTCCACATTTTTCACTCTTCGTAATTCCCTGAGAAGGATAGTCTCGCTTTACAGCGAAGACTTTTTGGGAATTTACAACAAACTGTTAACTTAAAGGTGCTGCGCTAACTGCATGCCAAACCGCCACAGTAAGAAAGAGAATGAGGCGTTCGATATTCCGCCTGGGCGAAATTTTTGCCTAATCAGTCATGTATGTGAGCGATATAATGACATAAACAAAATTTCAATTCTTTCAGTGGACGTTGGTGATGAACCACCAATGGGCATTCCGTACGCCACGTCGATCTACGGCGGTCAGCGAAGACGACGTATGAGCCTGCTGCAGACATTGCGACAAACAAAATCGTCAACTAAACGACAGTGGCCTGGAGATTCACCGTCCACGGACCGACAGTGAAAGCACAAATCGAGGTGAGCCCAAATTGCATGTTCTACTCTAACATAATAAGACGAAGTGCAGCGAGGCATTGGAATAATTGGGCTGTTTATGGCAAGTAAACTGGCGACCAAGGGAAAACAATTTTCTGACCAGAATATTCATAGAGTGAGTCGTATAACTTCGTATAATGTATGCTATACGAAGTAGGGCAAATGGACGAGACATAATGATTTGGCATGGCCTTTTGTATGACCATCTCCAGGCCCTCTCTCCATTGAAATGCTGAATCCTGAATAGGAGACTCCCATTTATGCCTCGACTGACATGGACATCACAGTCGAATCTACACAAAAATTAGAATAGATTTTTTCTTCGCTTTACGGCATTGACAGCTGCATTGGCCTTTACTTGTGTGGCCTTCTTCAAAATCCGTCACGATTAAGCTACAGCTTAACATTCTAATGCTGATAACAATAACGAGAAAGGACATTTAGTTTCAAATAACAAATCACGTACATTCAAAGTAGTGGAGGATTCCTCTAGATGATGTTTGTTTTCTCCTTATGTGGGAAACTAGCATTCAAAATCGTTTTTGAGCTATGAGATTTTCTCAGGATGTCGCCTCTAATCGAAACGGTCAGAAAAGCTTATATAGTTAATACAGGAGATACGCATACATATTTTAGAGGCGCAAAGGCCGGGTTACTTTAGAGTCGGCGCTGATTCGCAAGATAGTGGCTTGTGGCGGACATTGATTGAGAAACTCGTAACTCATTTCTGTTGGAATCGGAGTAGCTTCAGTGTGCGGAGAAGAGGCCAGGGCGAGTAGGCAATTCTTTGTATTCTCCGGATTTTTCAGTCGCCTATCAGCGCCTTTGTTAATGGAGGATGCCCGGTAACTTTGCGATAGCGCGTTCGATTCCATGACAGGGGGGAGTTTCGAGAGGCATCTGCTGGCGGATAAGCCGATTGGGTGAGGCACCCGCCGCAAGTAGGGTAGTTTCATGAAGAATAGGGGATTTTTTGAAGCGCGATGAGCACAGACTGGTCTCAGAAGGAGTAATGCTCAAGGTGAGGAAACTCAAGCGCTGAGCGAATAGCATCACACCGGTTGAGCTGACTTTTTGAGCTGCCATGTCGTCTCGTATGGAAAATGTTCAAATTCGGCGTTTATCCTCACTTTGGTTGTCAGCTTTAGCCCTAAAACGTGAATGGGACGTTTGCTTCAGAAATATGATATCGTATTAATGGGATTTGTGGGAACACTAACCACAATTGAACATTTTGATGAACAACGTTCCAATCAAAGCCCTCTCACTTTCCAGCAGTTCAAATAGCATCGCTCTCGCCGATGAAGTTTTCCTTGACGGACACTTTGCCATGTTGCCTACTAGTCGTTCACCGAAAGCCTCATAACACCATGGGAGGATTCTATAAGCACGAGAACTCCTCAATTGCTACTATAACTTATTTATAGTTCAAAAAGTAGTTGTGGATCTACATATTTGCTTTACGAGGCGTTGGCGCATGACTGAGTGCAAAGCAATTTTCATATCTTCGGACATCAATTTCTTTGAAGTGAGAAACAGTTCTAAAAACATCGTTTTCCGCGCAAATTCGCTCCTTTCATTATAAAGTGACCGTTCTTTCTGGCTGTAGCGAGCGAAAACCTAAACTCATTACCTAGTACATTATTCGAGAGATAGTTTAACTCGCTTCTCAATCACCTTTTTATGACGTTTAAAGGAATGTGCAATTAAAGCGGGCTTTTCTGGTATCTAGTTAAATTCAGAGTTTCGCATCGACGGTCTTCTCCAGAAAGAAGTCACACATGAGGTCTCTCTCATGACAGAGGGGTTCTTCTTCAAAAAACTTTTGATGGGCAAATAGTGAAGCAGTCATAAACCCTTCATCTTGGGATCACCTTGGGCGCATGTCAAGAAGACAAATGTTTCCTAATAGACCAGATTGTCGGACTGAGAAGCTGGAGGAGATGCTCCTCTTTTTTGGTTGACATCAGGCTGAATTCGCTTCACTTTTTTCACCGATTTCTCTATTTCAGATACAAGTTCGCCGCCGAACAGATCATCACCGCCTCCTCCATCGCCTTCGAAGAAGGGATTCGCCGGTCTAAAATCAAAGTATGTAAATCCTTAGTTAGTTGTCGATGTCAGGACCTGTTCACTGAAAACTGGTAATTGGTAGAAATGAACTACTCAGTTCGAGACATCCTAGAATGCGCTCTTGCGAAAAGTATGAGGCGCCAGTCTCCTCATAGGATGCGCCACGTATTCCCTTTGCCAGTCGGAATCGTAATGGCGTTTCGATGCGTTCGATGCTGCCCACTTGTTTTTTTGCACTTCTCCAAGCAGCACTGCGGTAGGTGGGTACAAAGTTTTGAGCAGGGCATAGCGTCACATTTATTCCTGCGCCGAATTACAAAACCGCTTTTCCTATTAGCAACTGGCGCCATTGGCCAAGAGACCGTCTTTCAGATGAACTGCACGATTAAGATTCGCAGATTAACCGGTAATAATAGTTATCTATAGACGTCTTTTGTTCCTGAATGTAGGACAAGGCGAGCTAATCTCCTACCTTTTCCCAGACAGCAGCCTACATTTTGCCTCTTAATGGTGTTTGCTGATCTGACATTAGTCGCTTGGCTTACAATGCTGTCCCTCAAAACGCGTTTACCTTTTGAGCTCCCAGACGCTTCGAAAAGAATTAAGGGCTCTTCAGGGACTACCCTGCTCCTGGCCCCTAGAAGAGCTCGCAATTTGAGACGGGTTCCTTCGAAAAGGTTTTCGTTCCCAATTTCTCGATGGCCTCTTGTTTTTTTCCGGGCTCGTGAATGACTTCCGGAGTAGCGCGTCGTTCTCATCCCATTCCCTATTCTCTTCAGTCAGCGGCGGCCATTACTCTTGGGAGAGGCGGCTGTCCGGCTAACAAACAGACCAGGAACTTTAGATTTTTCATTGTCCCCGTCCACAATGGCTTCTAGTAATCTTTGAGCAATTTGCATAATTACCGAGGTTTTCCGGCGGTCTCGAGTACTACTGCAGTAAAGAGTCATGTTAAATTTGCTTCAGCGCCAACTGGGACTACACTTGTTGCTCGAGAAATTAATGCTCTCTTCAAAGAATCCCGGAGATGAATGAAATACGCGGAACAAGTTTAATAGCTCCCTTGGGTAAATTAGATGGAGTAATTCTGCGAAAGGGTTTGTTGCAATTTCTTCGAATGAAAGGGTGGCAAAAAGTACAAGCAACTTAGAAAAAACTCGTAGCTATTTTGAGGGATTCCTTTGCACTCCCCCTAAACAGAAGACTACTGCAGTGAGAGTCGTGTTCCTAATTTGTCACGATCATGAACGTGGCAGAAAAACAGCACTTCTTCTTGGCCTTTGATGAATTTTATGGTATAATTCACCAGTGTTCATGACTCGGAAGAGGGGGGGGGCACAATTGAAAACAAAGAGTCCCCATGCCCCAGCCTCGAATGAAGTTTGATTATGTATGGCCCTAAAGTTTAAAACCCAGCATCCAACTGGAAATTGAAGAAGTTCAAACCTATACCCCAAATCTATCCGAGAACGTCATAATATCACTCTATGTACAGACATCACAATAATTTGTTCCGGAAAGCATGGTGCACGGTTCCAAGCTCAACGGGGTTTTTTGATAGGGTCGTGATATTCATTACGACGCTTATTGCGCGAATGGGCTGATCGGCAGGTCGTGCTATGCGTCAGAGCTACTGTCTTTTAAAGAACCTGGATAGTCACGGTCGGGCCATTGAATGAAATTCTGTAGCACTTTAGGGGCCAAAGCGAGTTACCGTAGCTCTCCTGAGCTCACGTTTTGGGGCAGATGACGTCATGGCTGAAGAGAGTGAGAGTAGATTGAAAAAGGGCCTGCTTGTCGAGGAAGAGGACGGGGAAATGTCTCAAAAATAAATATTTCGCCATAAACCCTTTATCAACGGCGGACTCCAGTGCGAGTTTAATGATGAGCGCTATGAAACGGACTGACTTTTTGCCCCCCCCCCCCACCCTCCTCTTACATATGAAGATGAAAAGGAGGGGCTACTCGAACGGCTAAGGAAAATTTTTTGATATTCGATGGCAAAACAGTCGAGAGATTTTCCGTAAAGTTTCCTGCTAAAGACGCCTGCAGCGATTCCTTTTTTTCTAGAATGTACTTATAAGCTCCATTCTTCATTGAATTCCATGACTTGCCAATGAAATCCCAAAATAGCGGCTTGCTACGCCGGCGTTGGAGCTATCAGTTATCCGTGGCGACTTGTGACCAACGCAATTCCTATTGTGATTGGCAGGCTGTTGGCGTGGTACTCGAGGGATTTCCGATTGTCCGCAGTCGTAGAGTTGGCACTACAAATGGCCGACCTCGTGATCTCTGAGCATTAACCTCTTTAGGGGAATGTGGAACACTTAAGGTCCACTTAGACTGGACTACAAGCTGCGGTCTGATTGAATTTCGGCTGTTTTTGATGTTTGAACATTTCAGGTTATTCGGAAAGCGTGCAAAACGTGGAACCATGGAGAGGACATCGTTCAACCAATGCGATGAGCACTCTCAGTCATGCGATGTCATCGGTTGTGAGTGGAGCTTTAAACGTTTCCGAACAAAAGCGCATTGATGAAGAAAAGTTAATTAAACTACCGTAGTCTTCAGCGTTTTTTTTTCGGCTTCATTTTTGCCACCAAAGATCGCGACTTCCTTTATTTTCACCGGCTAACTAACTGCAATTTGAAGTGGAAACGAACCTGGAAAAGATTCAAAGAAATAGCATTGTTCACCCACAGAAGAAGAAGTGCTTATAAAGAAAGCAGGGAATGTCACGTAAAGTCCTACTCTAAATTCTTTTACGAACACTGTAACTCTCCACCAGGGATACTTACGAAATTCGGTGCTATCGCAAGATACGGGGGCATCCTCTAAGACCGAGCCTAGGAAAGTGGAACTTCGGGAGAATGAAAATTGCTTGCGCATCCTGGATTCTTTCCTTTCCGGCCTAGGGCTTAGTTATATCCTTCAACAAAAAAAGTTGTTTCACGTGGTTTCGAATGTGCTGCCATTGCAATGCCCCTGCATCTTGGGATAGCGCTCAAAAATCGTTCTATAAGCCTAAGTCAATTTCTCCATAAATAATCGTCACTAGAAAGTCAGAAGCGAAGACTTAATCCTGTAACTGTGAGCCCTTTCCCTTCCAACTAATCCTTTGCCTCTGCATTTGAAAACTTCCCACATAACAAATTCAGCTTTCGGAAATAATCCTAAATTCTGCAGCCCCTTTAAGTTGAAGTCTCCGCTATTCCAGGAAACATCACAAACTTCTTTACCCTTTGCTCTTAATCGCAGGGCTGTCCGATTGGGAAAGGGGTATCTTCCGAGGATGCAGTTACAAAACAGTTATTATTCAGAAAAATACAACATGTCAATAACAAATGAATGAAGGCGGCGAACAGAAAGGGCTTTCTGAACTCTTTTTTCTCCTAGCTAAGTATTGGTTTCAACTACGTACCAAATCAAGAGCGCGCCTACATGCGCTTAGAAAAGAGCTGGGAGAAGAACAGCACTACGCGCAACGCCACATCCGATCATACCTTTCCGAAAAATATCCTTCGGACCCATTTGGTGATCACAAACACAAGTCATCGATGGCTCATGAGGCAGAAGTGGAAACACAGCTTCAAAATTCTGCGAAATCCAATTAGGGATCCCACTTGTGTATTTAGGCCGGACGGGACTGGCCAATTAGGACTACAAATGGTCAAGCAGAGGAGATTCTGTCAGATCTTCTCCTACAATAGGTCAGCTTCAGAGTGCGCAATCATTGAAGCTAGGGTAATTGTGCCTGTGCAAGAAGCTTCTCGGTTCGGGCGTACAGATACAGCATTGGGCTTATGTTTTTTTATTTCGAGCCTACGAGTGGGCTTGGCTAATCTAGGGGCTATCTGAGCAAATGAGTGGTGTCGTGACTTATAGTGACCTGACCTGAGAGTAGAACTCAACCACACTCGTAACCTTTGCCAGTGTGTTTTTCAGTGTACCCTAGCACACTTCATATGGTAGTCTCGCTAATAACACTAAGGAGTTTTCAGGCTTAATCCGACCTCATAAGTTTGATCTATGTATGGCTATGCTAGTGGGCCCTCAGGGTTTTGATTGGTGCTTTTTAACGGCAGTGCGAACGTCAAAGCACCTCAAGTCATGGCGGACATAAAGCTCACTCAGCTTTGCCATAGGTAGCATGCACAACTTATGCACAACAGATTTTAGTAGCTAGGGTCCACAATGCCGTTTAGGCCCAACTATGTTAAATAGCACGCGTGGGTCTTCCTCACAAGCACTGCTGTGAATTTATGTCACATTCTCAGTATCTTCTCACGGTGCTTTGCCCCTGTTGGGTATTTGTCCGGAAATAGACTTCTATTCTCACCGTTGACAGACAGCGACAAAGTGATCACGCGTGCCGGCGACATACTCAGCATGTCATGAAAACGTGTTGCTTACAAGATTGAATCGCTTCAGGAAGCGAACTTTAGCCGAACAATACTCACTTGGATTCTCAAAAATCACATGCATGTTCAAGAAATATCTTTGAAAAACCGAGAAAACAAAGAAATATTCTGATATTCATCAGATTTGCTGCTGCTTTCATTGCTCATTCATTTACAAAGGGCCTTTCGAATGGCTATCAAACGATACACTGGCTTCTGGAGAATTGATGGACCAAAAAAGGCGTTGTGTATCAAAATTCGAATTCATTTTTGATTCGCAGTTTCCCTGCTCCTGTAGTGGCCTCCTATAAATCCTTGGGGGCGAGCAGAGAAAAATGCATTCTTTGAATATTGTATGAAATGCCTCTGCTCCAGGAAATCGGCTCCGCAACATTTAACAGTGGAACCAAAAGTTTCCTAGCAACAGGTTATTAGATTGCCCTCAATGGGAGGCCGAGCTATTAGCTGCGTCACACTTATGGACGGAAACGCTTTTCCGCTGCTTATGCATAACCCTAACAATCATCGAACTTTCCCATTAGAAAAAAGTCAATTGAATTTCAGATAAGTATTAAGGTAAGAGGGGGGTTGCGCGTTGAGCGCTCCAAAAAACACCCTTCACAGAAAATAAGGAGAAATAGATGGCTGGGAATATGTGAGTGTCCCCAGTAGCATTAACTTGACCACAAATGATTACTTATATATCAGACTGAATGTTTTTCTTAGGCACAGCCTAGTGGTGTGCGGTAAATAAATAAATAATTGAATAAATAAATAAACTAAATAAATAAACACTGCTCATTTTTGATTTTTTGTGAGTACACAAGAAGAGGACGGCATGTGGCCTTCTACTCGCTCAGATCATAGTTTGGTAGGAAATTGAGTGCCACCGAAGAGATTTATGGAAATGGAATTCATAGCGGGTCTTGGGAATGATCGTTTCCAACCTTATTACTTTATCGTCATTTTTATCCATTTTTCCTTTAATGCAAGTCAAAACACTAACAGAATGGATAAAAAATAAAGGGCCTGATCTTTGAAAGGTTGACGACCAACTTTCTCTTCTCATGTCATTAGCAGTTGTCGTCGCTGACTGATTCTACATATTTGCTTGATTAATTTCGTCTCCAGAGACAGTAGTTCCGCAAAGTTGGAGATGACGGCTGAGGAGGAGTTGTACTTAATAAACGAAGCGCAAAAATTTTTTCTCTAACTGCTTATAAAACAATTAATCGGAGATTCTCCAAAAAACTTGGTATGTGATTTTGAAGATTTGATGAAACCCCTCCTCAACCCTCTTGTTTTTCTCAACACCAAAGGCTGAAGGGTAATTAATAGTCGCCAGAACGTATCAAAGTAATAATAAAGTTATGAGGTTTTTTCGTCCTTCAAAATGGGTCCCAGTTCTCAGTTTCCCAATCTCTGCTAGTGATCCCCTCAAACTCGCCCTACCACCACCCCACGACAATGAGCATCACGAGGAGAGAGAAGTTCTGAGAGATTTCTACTGAAAATCACAAGACTCACTATAAACTTATTATAAAATTCTTGGGCAAACGAATTTCAATAACATTTTTCAAGTAATAAATTTTTATATGATTCGCTTTTCTCCCATGAAAAACCAGGTTTTCCTTTGCAGTTCGATCTCGGAAATCGCCGTCGACGACGAACGATAGCGGTCGCGGCAGTCAATCTCACCTCGATCATGATCGAATAATTGGCGAGACGGTGGCTATCATTGAACGGCCCAATGATGAAAGCGAAGAGACTGTACGACCGTACAGACGAATTCGAACCAGTGAGTAAAATTTGCTCGTAAGGCAGCGTCCAGGTTGGCGATTGAACCGTGCGCCTCAGCGACTAAGCGATTACGCGGATTTTTATCATAAGAAAATGGATAAGCAACAATTAGGGATTAGGCCATTAGGCGATTAGGCGATTAGGCGATTGGGCTACTGGACGATTGTGGACGATCGCTCGTCGGGCGGATGAACGAATCGATACGTATTCTTCTCTTACCGCCTACTCGCCTAATCGTCCAATCGCCGACTCGCCTGTCTCCTAATTGTGTGATCGGTGTATGTGGAATTTCCTTTTTGAATCATCGCCTAATCGCTTGTACAACTTGAAACTCGGAATGGTGTCTAAACTCGGGCAACGAGATCTCGTCAGACGAGTGCTACCGTATGATAAGGTAGCCTCTGGGATCAGCTGTAGCATTTCTTACCGGGATTCACTGATTGACTGACTGAGGGAGGTGGTGAAGTCTAGGTTGGGCTATGTTTGAAAGTTAGACCGGTCTGATGTCAACGATTTTCCAACATCCACAGCTTCATCTTATCATTAGGGCGGAAGTGGTGCGGGTAGTGAGCGATACTTCTTCTTCACGCCGCCGTAGGCCGGATTCTAATCAGACCAAAGCGGCCCTTTATCCCTTCACACCAGTTTCAGACCTTCTGCCAGGGAACTAAAAAGGACATAACCCTATTTTATCTTGTAACTACATAGTACTTTCCCAGACCAAACACCACTTCTTCCTTTGTGCAAGGACACCCACAATTCATGGCGCTTATTATTTTTCCTAAATAGTAGGTTATAGACCTAGTAATTGTAGCGTTGCACTAAAAGCGAACAACGATCGAACTAAGTTTATTAACAGCGCTTGGTGCTTACGTAGAGGCTTCAAATTACCGGGATTTCATGATAAGCAATAATTCATACAATTATTTCTTTCTAAAAGTTGTTATCGACGCGAGTAGGGGCGCCCTTTAGCATTTTCAACACCACTTTCGCACGGCAATCCTCAATTTTGGCCTCATGGATGGCACTTACTCACGAACGGCGACCAAAAATCCTACTGGAGCTGCTTTTGCAGCGATAGTAATAATCATCGCCACGCGTAGTGTATGAATGTGTTGTGTATTCTGGCGGTTTGCGTATAATTGAATTTTTTTTCTATGAGACGTTTTTAATGATATTCACGTTCCATTTATAACGGCCACTAACAAGAGCTAGGGAAACAGGGCAAGCTCGAATGCACTTTTGGGAGGTTTGCAGAAGCTTAGCGGATGTTTTGAATTAGCACTGAAGCAGAACGTCCTCACGGAGTGCCAGGCGACGACATTACAAAAATCCGCTGCTAAAAAGGACGTTGAAAGGGACAAAGGGGCAATGAGGATGGGAAACTTGAGTAGAAGATAGGAAGAAATTTCTGAAAGAGTGGGCCTCATGGAACCTCGAACCCCACCACCATTAAAAATTCTCTGAAAAACTTGGGCTCACATATTTTTCACCCTGAGAAGCCATATTAGCGACGAACGGGAGGGGACTGGGGGGGGGGAAGGAGTCATCCGCGATGCGGATATATGTTTTTGCTGATTCGATGGTAGAATTTAGTTCAAAACCAAGCCTCGTAAAGTATCATAAAGGCATGAAAAGGGTTAGTTAGGGACTCTCTTTGCTGGATGCGCCACGCAACTTGCTTCAGTCTGAATTTTTCGTTACGTTGGGAAGATGGTTGGCCTAAGTAGTGATTTGTGGGAGCATCTCGTGCAAGAGCCAGGCTGTTTTTCTTGGGCGACGTGGCGTGTACCAATTACCCGATTTCGAAAAGATGATAGAACCAGTTGACTTGGCGGGGGTTGAGGTCAGGGTCCTGGGCCATGAGAATTGTTAGAGATACCACTGATCTCCTGCAACAGCTCCGTTCTTCCTTCCTTTACCGAGTCCGCGAATAAATAGGAGCTTTACTTCAGGGGTTTGGGTAATTTCTTATCTCAGAAATTGATGAAATAAGGGTATCAATAGAATAGAAACAAATTAATAAAATAAGGGTACTGCCATATTGATTTTTCAAAAAAGACAATTTCAGGTTCTTGCCCGGATCTGTCCTCATTGCGTATCAGCCCAACATCTCGAGCGCCAATCGTGGACTCCGAGTCCGAAGAGGATCCTGTTGAGCGCAACTCAAGCCCCATAACTGGTTTGTCTTCTGTATGATTAATTAATTGCTTCAATGGAACTCTAGTGTATTTACGCACGCAATCGGAAATTCAATTGACCTTTCTAATACGAGCGATTCGGCGGTGTTTACCACTACTCGACAAAGCGTAAACTTGTTTATGTGCGACGGCGGTGATTTTATTTACTACTTAGTCGGGCGGGAAAGTTATCCGCTGTTTTCCAAGAAAGCGAGCCTCATTCATGAAGTAAAATTAGGTGGGAATGTACATAATTCCAATATAGAAGAATTAGTCTCGTTGTGATGTAATAGGCTATTATAGGTGTTGGGTAACCTTAATGCGAGAAATAGTGCAATTCCACAGCTGTAGGAGCAAAAATAGCTGAGAAAAGAGCTCTGGGGGATTTCTCAGAAAATGATAACGAACTTTTCTAAGCGCCCTAATCCTGCCGGAAAAAATGACTGTGGTAGCTCAGATTTTGAGATGAACTGTTCATCTGAGTCCAAAATCCACCGATTGTCACCCATGAGTGTTTTGCCGCATTCGGAAACTCTCCGCTTTAAAATAAATCGTATGGAAACGCCCTTCTGACTCTGTATGCGTACACCTGATTGAACGTTACTTATTCAGATTAAGAATGGTTGAGAAATTCGACTGTAAAGTTGAAAATTTTCCTGGACTGATAATAGACAGTCATTTAGAATAAGGCTCAAACACACTTAGAAATAGTGATTGCGCTAGGGCGGACGATATGTTGCCATTCACGCTGCCCTCTTTGCGCGTATGTCGTCCCAAATGGCCGGCGCCAAATGTCACCCTCCTAAGAACGAGACCTCAGTAGTTTGGATGGATATGTTGAATCCCTATTGCCCTTCATATGTCCAAAATTTGAAGCGATATATAAGTCTTGAAAACTAGAATATCTGCAAATGACTCAAATTAAAGGCCACTAACATTAATGAAGACCAATCCAGACATACTGTGCTTTCTGAGTTTCACGCTACCGTAATCATCCATTTGACAGTGGAAAAAAATGCGCCGTCATTTTTTTCGTGTCGATAGCAATATCATTGGGCAAAAACTGAATTCGATTCCGAAACGATGTCAAAATAGCTTCATTTGCTCTTAGAGAGCGAGCTGTTGACAAGTGTGTGCAGTGGCCCACTACTTCGAGCGCTAAATTAGATTCTAAAAAGTGAATCAAGCAAGATATCTCGATCCTACGGTCACTGATTTCGCGCGCTTCTATGAATAGCTTTTGCTCAGGGAGTACCTTAAAATGAACTAAGAGCCGACCTTAAGAGAGGAAGGTAGCGTTGGATAGTCTTTCCAGGCGGTGCGATGCGGGAAGTAACATGTATCGAGGCGTGCGTAAGGCCAGCTTCACTACGCCACCATACCACCTCTGCTTGGGCTGTGCCTTTCCAACGGGTGAAGACGTTATCAAAATGCCCTAGACTGGCAATCACATGTGGTGATTTTCACCCATTGACGAGGAGTAAGGAGCGCGATATTTTTTTTTTTTTTTTTTTTTTGCATGACATGGACCCTTGATTTTGCAAGCGCCACAGCTCGCCTCATTACGTGCAAAACTTACGCCACTCTCGGAATTGAACCCTAGGACTCATAGTGGGCATCAGTGCGACAGGGACCACTCGACCACAGTAGTGGAAGAAGTGTCGCGGCAACCGGTAAGCGGCGGAATTTGTTTGCCCAAATTTTTAGAGCTTATGCCTGGCGTCTCCCTTCCTCGCGCATTGTTTCTCTGCGCCATTGCGTTTGGTTTTCAAATATTCCGCTCAGCAAACATCTTGCAGCCGTTCGATGTGATTACCCCGACTTCTGAGTGAGATCGAGCTTACCTGGACTATCTGACGGGTAATCGGAGAGGCTTCGGGGCGTGTTTCACAAAACTCTGGATACAAGCCTTCACCAGGTTATCACGAGCAGATGGTCACATGGTAACTGGCAGCTGAGGACAGATTACCAGACCGGTCCCAAATTGGGCTGTTAAGGTGTTGTCTAAGAATGATACCTCCTATGCAGTGAAGAGGAACTGATGAATTCCGCACTTGGGAACGTATTTGCGAAATTATTGTACAAAAACGGCAGCAGTTTACCTTAGCAACTTCATAAGAAAAAATATATTTTTTCAGCCGCTGATTGTCTCATCGAACGCCGTCTGCTTCGCCGAGCGATGGAAGTGGCGACATCTGGACGTAGTGATTCCCATCATCAACGACCTCAACGTGCCCAGCTAGCAATGTGAGCGGCTCAGTCACCATCTGGGAATTGCTCCCATTGGAAGTCCTCCAAAAAAAGCATTTATATCTGAACATATATTTGTATTGTGTAAAGCCAAAGCAGTTATTCGATGCCACTCATCTCGTAAGAGGCCAAATTTTAATTTTCAACTGATTTTTTGCGTGTAAAGCTCTAGTACATGTAGGTAAGCCGTGTCTAGCTGAACCTCCCTTCGTCCCCCTTTTGTTGTGTGCGTGGAAGAAAAACTACAGGTGATCCCCTCCCAACTATCCTCACCTGTATGGCTCTGATCTCGAACGTTTCAAGTCCTTTAGCCGTTCAACATATATTTTCTCGTCATGGAATGCTTAGCAGACCATCTCATTTTGTGTTTGATTGATGTTGCGTGTGTGAATAAATTGCACGGCGTGTGCTCGTTCAATTCGATGGCGTTTCACTGACTTCTCCCCGCTAACATTACTGCTTTGTACTACTCTCTTGTCGTGTCTCGGAGAACGTTTGAACATTTAGTTCTTGGGAAACAAAGCAATAATGGGTTCTCTTATGTTGCTTGGTGGATTGGAAAGCGTAATGAAGTTGGAAAGCCTAGGCTTCAGAGAGTTGAGCAGTGATACAGCACAGAACCCCAGGTTACAGATCCCAGGTAATGGGAACAATCAAGGAAAAGTGCAGTGGGGTGTGGGGGAAGGTTGTGGGCTAAACTTGGCTGTAAACACAGGGCGAGTCAGGAATGAGAACAATGGCATTTT